CTTTAATCAGGACAAAACCGTATATTAAAAGCTAACAGAAGCAGTAGCATTTACAAATAACAGTGTATCTACAAGTATGAGACAACAAACAAAGAAACATACCATTCTGAAACGTCCTGTAAGAGCCGTGCTTGCACAGGTTCTGCACTATCCTCTTCACTAATATTCTCTGGGTCTCATTCGGGCTCAAATTGATAAGCAATATTGACAACGCAATTGTTTACAATACAAGCAGAGCACATGCCGCTGAGGTGAGGGGCGGGACTTTAGACGCGCACTAGAGGCGGTTTAGCCAATCACAACACACTGGACCAGCTAACCAATCTGAGCCCGTCGCGTATTTCTGAGGGAGGGGCTTCATAAAAACAGGAAATGATCAGCGCGTTTATAGGAGAAGGGACAGAGCGGTGTAGAATAAAGGTAAATTATGTAATAAATAATGTTTTTTTTTTATTTTTTAAACGAAGCATTAACACATGTTAGACTGCACCCCATAAACACAATCAAGCCTAGAAAAAAAACAGTCAACCACCCCTTTAACAGCTGTTGGTAATAATTAACATTTCATTCATTCATTCATTCATTCTTTTTGTACAATATTAAAATAGAATTATTATATTTTAGATTATATAAATATAATTAAAAGCTTTTTGTTATTGGACATCATTTTAATATCACTGCATCCCTAATCCCTAATTCATACCAATACCAATACCAATAATTAATTTCAGCAATATTAAAATATGAATTTTTGTGTCAGTTATTTAGATAATTAACAGCTTATTGTTAATAATTAACATTATTAATTATTAATTAATTAATTATTAGTTTATCTAAGATTGTCACACGTCGATTAACCGGTGGGAAAATGTCCTCACCGTCACAACCCTAATCTCTTGTATGATGAATTGCTTGCAGTGTTTTTCATTTTTAGGTTTCTTTGGATATAAACATTTGCTAAATGACTAACATTGCCAGGAGACAGTGTTTTAACATCAAGGCCTTCACAAAAAGCCTTTGGAACTCGTTGCCAGTTAGAATGTGGTTTGCTTGGATGAACTGCTCTGTTAAGACATCATTTGGATTTAGATGTTTCGATTTGTAAAGAGCTTTTGGAGAAGAAACTTTCTGTTGGAATTCAGCAGTTTATTCTGAGTCCCATTACACTGAAGGAAACACTTTTAGTCACAGTTCAATAGTCCTTGAGTGTTTTGAGGACAGGGTTTTTCTCAGTGACCCTGCTGTCTGTGTATGTGTGTGTGTGTGTGTGTGTGTTTTAATGATTGTGTCGATGTGAAAAGGATTACGTAATCAGAGCTCCTCTGTTTTGTCCTTGCTCATCCTTTCAGAAAAGCCTGTCTCATTTATTGAAGTTATTTCAGGAAGCACTTTTGCTGCTGCTGCATTTCAATGTGAAAACAGTTAGTTAGGCTACAGCACTGGGATCCAAAATCCTGCTCACTCGTATCGTTGTGAAGGACAGTCCAAGGGGAAACAGTCTAGGAAAAGTCATTGCAATTAAACCAATGCAATCAGAAAATGACATTAGCTGATCTGATATTTACATAGAAATAGCATGATAGTTTTTATATTGTAAGTTTGCTTACAAAACTGTATTGTAGTATTAGCCTGTTTTTGAACATGCACCATGGTCATTCTTCAAAGTACCATGTGATACCATGATTTTTCTTAAAGATGAACCCAGTCAAAGGATGCCATTAAGGTTTGCAAAGTGGTTTTCTGTAGCTATGATAGGCTTTTGTTAAATTATATGGAAATAAAACAATATTTTGACTTCTAAAGACATTTTTGTCTATTCTGCCGCAATAATATGACTTTCTTTGAATTAATTTGTGTCCTTCCCTGTGGAAAAAAAAAAGCTAAAACCAGCGAAGACCAGCCCGACCAGCTAAAGAAGTGGTCTAAACCCTCTAAAACCAGCCTACAAACAAACCAGCCTGGAAGACCAGCTAAAACCAGCCAGATTCTCTTTTATCCAAAAACTACAGCCAGGGCTCCCTTATTAATTAATTTTTCTCAGTCTTGGTTGTATTTTATGTACGCCAGCTGTTAATTTGGGCCAAACCTGTACTTCAGTCAGAAGTCAGAAAAATTAATACGTTTTTGGATAAAAGGGAATGTTAATAATTTTTTTCAATACTTGCAGGTTATCTCAAAATTTGCTTGTTACTAATCAAAATGCTTTAACCAAACTCTTGCAATATTTCTAACATCATTATAATGAAATTACAGTATGCAGCATTGGCCTATATATCCAGTGTTTAGTGTATATTTGTAATCACTATATTTAGTGTTAAAACAACAGCATATACATTACAGCTTATCTTGTTGTGGCCCACATTCCCCCTCCAGATGTTGTTTGTCCTGCAAATATAAACAGTACATCAGAAATTGAATCATGGGATAGGGCGAATGCAGTGAAGACGGGATGTTTTGTCGCTTGTTCCTGTTTTTTTAGGAGTAGTGAAAATGGAATGAAGATTAGTGGTTCTGTTCAGAAAAAGGGTCACAGAGTTTACATTGTAGGTCAAGCTATATAATGGATTTAGCAGATTTTTTTGTGGGCTGATAGCAATGTCAGGTCATGTTACATGATTCTGAATAGCACGTATATAAAGATGCATGAATGTGGCACCCGTGCAATATACATGAACAAGAAAAACCCATTTAGGTCATCAGTGGCATCTTCCCAACCCACAAGCGTTGAGCTGCACAGCTGAACAGAAGGTGAAGTTCAAATGCTGGAGTCCCCACTGGGAACCTTGTCTATATACGTGTGTATATATATGCTATATGCATTTATAGTTGTGCATGTAATATATGCACTGCAATTGGGGGCTCCAGTACTCTGTGGGAGCGAATAAATGTGGCATGAAAATAAAGACATTTTGCTGAGTTCTCCTTGCCTAATACATAATCCAGTTTGAAAACCACTGAATGTTCCCTTAAGTTTATGGCTAACAAGACTGATTTGAACCCCTGCTTGGCCAATAAAAGTAAGCAACAGAAATAGGCATTTATATTTCTGAAAGATTTCTTTGTGAGAAGACCTTCTTGAAGGAGTCATCAGGCATGTTGTGCGGTACACACCCTGCCACTTATCTAACAGTCTTACATTGTTCAGTGGTCATAAGGAGGTTGTGAGAAAGACATCCCACTGTTCTCTCTGAAATCCTGGAAGAGTATACGAATAAATATATTCTGCCGTTCTCTGCGAGATGCCTTAATGCGCTTTTGTTTTTCTCCTTGCTCCCAACAGATCGCTCTCCTCCAGCTGTCGTCCTAAATTAGCTGAGCTCTGTGAAAAGAGAGCCGTTTCAACTGACCCCTTCTGCTCCTTGAAGCTCCAGCCGTCCGTGACACCCAAATGCTGCCTGTCTTTCATCAAACTGGTCACTCCTGGAGAAAAATGGACTTGGAGTGAAGGGCGGCCCTTTATGTGGGCTGACTCCCTCTAGGACGACTCTGAAACTAGTTGAGACTCAAATGGGTGACCTATGACAATGTAACCAATAAGGGGACTTGATTTCTCGCTTTCTCAAGCAGCTGCAAGCAGGATATGAGCTTGAGCCGTGTGTATCGACGATAAAACGAACCTTTCATCGCTTGAGGCCTCCTCTAACGTCATGCAGTCATCTGAGGAATTGTTTAACAGGAAGCTGAAAGCGTTGAATGGGAGTATGGGACATCCAGCGGGCAACACGCAGGGCAAGCTGGACGGGGGTGGCAAGACGAACGGGACACCTGCTATGCCTAAAATGGGGGTGCGGGCCAGGGTGACGGACTGGCCCCCAAAAAAGGAGGGTTGGGGTCCCAACTACGAGACCGTCATCACGGCCTTTCAGAACGGACAGCCAGACCAAAGTGTGGAGATCACAGATTTGGGCGAAGCTCCTTTGGAGTCTGATTATTCGGATACAAAATATTCCTTGAGTGACCTTTTGAGTCGATCCCCTTTGAAGGGACTCCATCCCATTCGCCAACGGAGTAACAGTGACGTGACCATCAGCGACATTGATGCGGAGGACATAATGGACCAGAACGCTGTTAACCCCAACACCGGCGCCTCGTTGCATCGGGAGTATGGCAGCACGTCTTCAATTGACCGCCAGGGTCTTGGGAACGATGGGTTCTTTACTATGTTGCGAGGATATCGGATTGACAACTTGGACCATCGCAGCTCTCCGCCTGCCGGGTTCCCAGAGCTCCTTCGCTACGACACAACCCTCTCCCCAAGCTTGCAGACCGCTGCACAAATAGCCCGCGGCGAGATCATCCACATCTCCGGCTACGACTACGTGGACACCTCCCTCCTCTACAGCCGAGAAAGAGAGAAGTCCTTCATGCGTCGTCTCAAGTCGGAATCATCTGAAACATCGCTGTTCAAAAAACTGAGGACTATTAAGAGCGAGAACGACGGTCTGCGGCTCTCCACCGAGCAAGACGACCGCCGGCCGCTCAGCTTCCAGAAGTGCTTCGCTCACTATGACGTCCAGAGCGTCCTCTTTAACATCAGTGAAGCGGTGGCCAATCGCGTAACCCTCAGCCAGAGGAAGAACACCACCACTGGAGCTTCTGCCGCCTCCCAATACCAAGTCCCAGGAAGTGGACAAGTGGCTGGGAATACAACTGGACCTGCATCCATGTTTGAATCGCCGCTCGGAAGTCGGGAAGACCTCAATCCCAAGGAGAACCTGGATGCGGATGAGGGGGATGGGAAGAGCAATGGATTGGTGCTGAGTTGCCCGCATTTTCGCAATGAGATTGGTGGAGAAGGGGAGAGGAGGATATCTCTATCCAGGGCCAACAACGCCACCTACAGCGTTGGAGGAGAAAACTGCTCGTTCGAGTCCTCCTTGAGCTCCCACTGTACTAATGCTGGCGTGTCTGTACTGGAGGTGCCACGAGAAAGCCAGCCAATCCACCGTGAAAAGGTCAAGCGGTACATCATCGAGCACATCGACCTCGGAGCGTATTATTACCACAAATTCTTCTATGGGAGAGGTAAGCCTTGTCATTTTGCATGAAAAACAAAGCTGATTCATGTTTGTTAAACTCAACATGAAAACTAAATTGACCTTTCATTCCTTTCATTCTATTCAGAATGATTCATCAGTGTATGTTATTCTAAATTGTTATTGTTTGTAATCTTGCTATGCCTCTGAAACATAATTTCTCTTTAGCTGATGTCACAAAGGTTATGTTTGTGCTTTTGTAACTCTGGCATGGACAGATATTTTGCGGCTTATATGCATTTGTAGGAGTTTCCCTTTCAGATCAACTGCAGAACTTTCTACTCCCATCGGCGCTTTTATGGGATTGTGATCTCATGCTAATTTGCCCTGTTTAGTAAATCTGGCCCTAAGTATTTTGCTTACATCAGCATGGGTTTGAACATCACATTTCACTGGTTCAGCCATCGAGAATTTGCTATGAATATTCACAAAGCTGGAATGCTGCGCTTTACAACTATACCAAACTTGTGCTGAGGGGAAGCACCAGTCTTCAAGAAGCGAGCAGAGGAAAAGGTGGACCTCTCAGAAAACATACAAATAAAGATAATTGTAGATGTTTAATTACTATTTGGATCATTGGGATTGCTAGACAAGGGCTTAATGAACTGATTTTTGTCAAAACCTCAAAATGGCATTTTTTTTTTTTTTGCCTGTAGCTCATTCCATGCACATTCCGACTCATTTTGCCAGCACGGTGCACATGTTCTGAAGAATGCTGGTAATCAAACAGTTGAAGGTAGCCATTGACTTCCATGGTATGGAAAATAATACTATGGAAGTCAATGGCTACCATCAGCGGTTTGATTACCAACATCCCTCAAATTATCTTCTTTTGTGTTCCACATGAGGGTGAGTAAATGACAGAGTTTCCATTTAGCGTCATGGCAGAGCATTGAAGTCGACTAGTCGATTAGTCGGTGCAACCCCTACTACAGAGTGCTAATTATAAATTTAAAATGTCATTTTTTTGCTTTGTGAATAATTAAAAATCGTGCCTTGTAAGTATTCTCTCCTTTGGATGTCGGTCTGATGATTTAGGGACCGTAGGTTTTGAGAAGCATGGTGTTTGTTACACATTTTGAAAGGAGAAACACTTGTGCCAAGGATTGAGGTGTGAGAATGTTCTCCTGTCTTTGGCCTGTGATTTGTCATGTGAGAATAGACAGGGTGAGGTGCAGCTGTTCCCCTCCGAGGAGCCGTGATGCCGAGAGAGGCGAGACGGGACCCTCTCCTCACACCGCAGTCCCACCGCTCTTTATTAAAACACCTCAGCGTGTCTGGGAATGGAACAAGCAAATGATACCTCAACTTATATTGCACAATGTCGTCCGTGTTTGACTGAGAAGGTGTCCTTGTCTGTCAGACTGCTTTTTTTTATTGCATGTCTGCACATCTGCATAGTCCTGACAGGATTGTGTTACCCATTCCTAAGCTCTGGAAAACAGCTGCTCCTCCTCTCGCCATGCAGAAATTCATTTCTTTCCTTTCATTACGCTGAATAATGAGCCGCAGCCTGTGGGTGAAAGCTGTGATTGTGTCCCGCACGTTCACAGGCTTTCCAGCCATAGCGAATGAGCCAATTACAGCTCAGCTCAAATGACAATAAATCATGTTAGCCAGCTCATTCTATTGGGAAATAGATAATCATCCACCGTGCCGAGTTGCCAAAGACCTATCAAGCAGAAGAGCGCAATTTCCTTCATTTGTGTAGGGATATATTTTACACTGATTAGTCTTGTGCGTTTAACTTTATTTTAAGTGTTGTTTAAAGAGGAAAGGAGTTTCGATGTGAAAATCAAAATTGACCCATTTAGCCACTATTAGTTAATTCAAAACTAATAGCCAGATATTAATTTATTTAATTATTCTTAGGTTACTGTTGTAGGTAATGCAGCTTTGCTAATATCTAGCTAATAGTTAATTTAATGCTGGTTATGCAGCGACGAATAACTGAAATAATGGTAAATCGGGGCAGATTTAAATAGGAGCTTTAGCATTTGTTTTTCAATTACAATTCATTTGTAATTGAATGCATAACTTTAAACTGAATGCATAACTTTAATGTATAAAATTGAATCAAATGAAATGCATAACTTCAAATTGAAATAAATGAAATGCATAACTTTAAAATTAAATAAACACAGTGCATACATTCAATGCATAACTTTAAACTGAATTAAATTGAATGCATAACTTCAACACAACTTTAAATGAAATAAAATTGAATGCATAACTTGAATGCATTGCTTCAAATTGAATGCAAAACTTAAATGCATAACTTCAATTTTAATAAATGCAATGCATAACTTGTCTTGAATGCATAACTAAATTTAATTCAATGGAATGCATAACTTACTCTTAAGATAAATGTTGGTTTTAAATGATTGAATACAGAAATAGATTTTTATTTTGACAGTCTGACATTCTCGACTTCAGACTAACAGTCAGAGTCCATTTAACCTTTCATAGCTGATCATCACCCCTTCATCGTCTCTAGAGGGACGTGGAAAGGACAGAGCTGTCAACATGTCTCTCCCAAGAGCCACTATCCTCTTTCACACCTTACTTTCCATGATGCTTTTATCACCTAGGGAGAAGCATTGATTCCATTAACTTCCTCTCCCGTTTTCCCCTGTTCGTGACCAAGATGCTGCATGATCGGGGATGCAAGATGTGACATGCCCACTGAACGTCTGCATTAATGCTTGAATGTTATTAATACTTCATTTTGGTAAGAATCATGGCTCAGCTCAATGCCTCCCGTTGGTGACAGAAACTGATGTGTCATAGTTGCTCAAGAAATATTTCTGCTCATTATCAGTGTTGAAAACAGTTCATATTTCTATGGAAACCAAAAAAAAAACAAAAACATTTTTTAAGGATACTTTGATGAAAAGAAAGTTCGAAAGAACAGCATTTAATTGAAATAGAAATCTTTTGTAACTTTATAAATGTCTTTTATGCGCCCTTGAATGCATCCTTGATGAATAAAAATATTCATTTCTTACTGATTCCAAACTGTAAACGTAATCTACTTTATCTAAACAAGGAAATCATTCAGTACTACCATATATGAAAGTACTATGGTATCCTCAGGAAACCAGCTCGACCAAGTTGGTCTACCTTGTCAAAACCAGATGATGATTCATCAAAATCTGGTTGTAACTGGATTTTCCAACAGGGTTCTGATAAAGTGTATTTTAGAGGGCAGTAGTCGTGTTGTTTTACTTTGAGTCGTTTAGAGAGGATGAGATGAAGTGTCCCGCTGAGGGTGTTTGTTGTTCTGCACTTCTGGCTTTGAGTTGGATTAGGTGGATGTTTAAGGAGGAGAACGGTTTCAGATCTTCTCCATCATTCAGGTCGCGCCTGCTGCTGTAACTATAAATTAGGTTGTGTTTGCTTTTCATTCACACTAACTGAGCTGCTCAATCTCTGTTGCTAATTTTGTTTGTTGTCCCATATTTTTGTGTTTTTATTTTAATGCTTTTTTCTTCTCCATGACATGCTTTAGTACACTGTGTTCATCATGTTGCATAACTTTGGCCTCGGGTTTTCGACTTGATGTCCAAATGTATGTTTGTCTCAAGGGGCTTACTGAAAAGGATATCAAGAAGAAAGAGGTTAAGCTTCGTCTGTAGCTGGTTTTATTTCTGTTGTTAATCTCTGATGGACCCCTATGGTGCAGTGAAATCAGAGATTATGCTTCATATATGACACTAAAGTGTCTGTGAGACTGTGTGAAAATCCATAGAGATGTGCTCTGGATCAGATCACATCATTGCCATGTGGACATGACAGATGACTAAGGATATTTTAACTTTAACTCTTCTCTATTATAACACCAGTTTAAAAGAACTATTTTATTTTATTTTACTTTATTTTTTATTTTACATCATGAAGCCTATCAAGAGCATGTCATATTTTATTCCAAAATCAAAAGAGAAAATAATTTATAAAGTATTTAAAATTAAGTTACTATCAAATTAAATAATGTATTTTAAATGTTTATTTGTTTGTTTGATTGTTTGGAACAGATGATCATTTGATCATCAGTTGTCATAAAAATAATCAATGCAAAAATCTTAATGGTCCAAAAATAAGCTTTTAATTTAAGTTTAGTTTAGTTTAATTTGTTTTGTGTTTTGTTTTAATATCATAAAGCCTATCATGTCACATTTTATTCTAAAATCAAAAGAGAAAAAAATTTATAGTATTTAAATAAGTGAAATAAGTTTTATAAGTAAATTTCTAAGTATTTAAAATTAAGTTACTACCAAATTAATTAATTATTTTTATTTATTTATCTTTCCTAAAATAAATGGTTTATTTATTTTATCTACAATAATGTACAGTATTTGAAAAATAATGTGTTTTTTGAACATTAAAGCATGTCAACATATTCTGTTACACCAAATACACAAAATAATGATCTTTAAAAAAGTATCATATGACCCCTTTAAATAAGTGAAATAAGTTTTATAAGTAAATTTCTAAGTATTTAAAATTAAGTTACTACCAAATTAATTAATTTTTTTTTTTTATTTATCTTTCCTAAAATAAATGGTTTATTTATTTTATTTTATTAATATCATGAAGCCTATCTCAATCATGTCATATTTTATTCCAAAATCTAAAGAGAAAATAATTTATAAAGTATTTACAATTAAGTTACTATCAAATTACATCATTTATTTTAAACGGTTGTTTGTTTGTTTGTTTGGAACAGATGATCATTTTATTTTATTATTTTATTTGATCTTTTTTAAAATAATTTATTAACTATTTATCAATGCAAAAATCTTAATGGTCCAAAAATAATCTTTTAATTTAAGTTTAGTTTAGTTTAATTTGTTTTGTGTTTTGTTTTAATATCATAAAGCCTATCATGTCACATTTTATTCTAAAATCAAAAGAGAAAAAAATTTATAGTATTTAAATAAGTGAAATAAGTTTTATAAGTAAATTTCTAAGTATTTAAAATTAAGTTACTACCAAATTAATTAATTATTTTTATTTATTTATCTTTCCTAAAATAAATGGTTTATTTATTTTATTTTATTAATATCATGAAGCCTATCTCAATCATGTCATATTTTATTCCAAAATCTAAAGAGAAAATAATTTATAAAGTATTTACAATTAAGTTACTATCAAATTACATCATTTATTTTAAACGGTTGTTTGTTTGTTTGTTTGGAACAGATGATCATTTTATTTTATTATTTTATTTGATCTTTTTAAAAATAATTTATTAACTATTTAAAACCAAGTTACTATCAAATATTATTTATTTGTTTGATTGATTTTTGTTTGGTATGGATAATCATAATAAATGGTTCTAAAATAAATTTAATTTTCTTTATGCAAAATATAAATGTCTTTTTCTGGAGTGAAATATGACCTGGATTGACTTATTGAGATACATCCTTTTAGTTATACAAATATAATTTGCATTGCAGTAGTTTTGTGGAAAAATGATTTCAGGAATTGATGAAAACGGGAATCATTTCTATTTATTTTGTCCATTTAATCATCAAAATATGAAGGCGAATAGGTGTTTAATGTTAGGGTTGGGCCGATAGACGATGCCATCGTCCATCGCCGATGGCTGACAGACATCACGATGTTAAGCTGACATCGTGATTCCCCCCCACCACCCCCCCTCCCGCAATCCGCCGCATCCCAGTTCTGTGTTCGGAAAGGAAATGAAGTGTACTACGGAAACCCTAAAGGGAATAAATAGCCTATGAGATGGGACAATAAAAAAATATTTCAATACTTTTTCTCATCATCATCCAGTCTGTCTGGAATGACATGAAGAAACAGAACAAACTGAGACAGACTCAATCCAGAAGAACTGTCTCCAAGATGCTTCAAGAGACCTACCTGCAAAGCTCCCTGAGAAACTATTGTGCACCTAAAACAAGTGCACCGAGGGCAAAAGCTGCTTTAAACGCAAAGGATGCTCACACCAAATGTTGATTTCATTTAGTTAATAGAAGTTAATTGATAAAGAATATCTATGGCATTATTTTTGACAGCATCCTCATTTTACAGCATTTTTACACAAGTGCCTAAACTTTTAACAGTACAGTAGCTTTGCAGGTAGGTTTCCCGAAGCATCTTGGAGACGTTGCCACAGTTCTCATGTCTACATGTCAAAGAGAGCTCTGGTGTTGGTTAAGATAGATATAGAATCTGGCATCTGTCCGGTCTGTATCTCAGATAAGCAGCACTTGAGCCCCTCTTCCTGTCCTGCTCACTCTGTAGGGTGTTCTTGGAAAGTGTTATCTGTCCTTCTAGAACCTGACCTCACATCTGTCCTGTGGTTAACCTCAGAGCACCAGAACTACTTCGGCGTGGATGAGAACTTGGGTCCGGTGGCCATTAGCGTACGGAGAGAAAAGCTGGATGACGGGAAAGACAAGGAGGCAGCGCAGTATAACTATCGCATTACCTTCAGGACGAGTCAGGTACTTGATGAATTACTCAACAAATAATAATAGATTACATTTGATTAATTGATCAGCCTATCATACAATTAATTCACTTTAAAATTAATTGATTGACATCCCAAATTGCAATAAAATTTGAAAAATGTTTAAAGTTGTTTTACATATAATGAATAAATGAACATGGAAACTGTACCACATTTAATTTTCAAGTTTTACCTGCTAATATTTAGCATTGAATTATTATAAGGAGGTAAAACTCTCCTTCTTTCAAACTTACAAGCTATAAAATATATTAAATTATATTATTTATATTAAAATATAAATATATTAAAATATATCATCCTTAGGAGGACAAATAGAAATCAGTTGCTAATAACTGTATTTAATTAATAAAAATTTGTATTCACTTTCTTACAATGCAAAATTGCAAACATTTTAATGGTCCTAAAATTTTCTCTTAATAAATTTTTTTTTCTAAATGATCTTCCTTCATTCATTCATTCAGGATTCAGGATTCAGGATGGATAATCTTCAATGACATTTAATTTTATTAAAAAAACATTGATAAAATGTTTTGATAAAAATTGATATATAAAAAATGTAATTACCTTTTTTTCCTTTTTATGAGGTGAAATGTTTATTTGTTTGTTTATTGTTTGTAAAGATGGTCTTAATTGTCATGAAAATGCAAAAATAGTAATGGTCCTAAAATAAACTTATAATAATTATATTATAATTATATTATAAACTTACTATAATTATAATATTAATATAAAAATATTTATTTATTTATTTATTTAAGATGGATAATCTTTAATGAAATTTAATTTTAATAAAAATAATCACAATAGACCTAAAATGAGCTTCATTTTCTTTATGCAAAATATAATTTTCTTTTTTTATGAGGTGAAATATGCTTATTCTTATTATTTTCGAGGACAGTAGATGCAAATATTGTCAGCATTAGTTCTTCTCTCTTATCAAATGCATCGTCGCATTAAACCTTAGGCTTTGATCTTTAGCTTCTAGTGGACCTCATTCACAATTAAGCTGAATTATGAAGCCTAGACACTCACATGAATCAAAACGTCAGAATGAGATTTAAAGAGATGCTAGTGCTTCAAATCAGCATTCAGCATAAAAGCCTTTTACTTTATAAGTGAAAGTGCAGATAAAAGGGTCAAGACTCAATTACTTCCTTTCAGACAAGAGCATGCCATCAAATCTCCTGCAGGGAGGGAGAATTTCATTGCCAGTGACTTAATATCCAAATGGATCTATGTATTTTTTTTTAATTGAAAGTATTGAGTTTTCTCATAGACTGACAGGATTTAGTACTTGAGGTCAAAAACTGGACTGATATATTGACCAGACTACTGCCTTGTCATGGGATTTTGATTGTTTGAGGCAGGAAAATGTCCTTGCTGTGTAATGCATGTGATGTTTAATTCCTGTCCAGCATACTAACAGCTCTGCT